GGTGATAACTTTTACATCCTATGCATTTATTCATTCATTGATACATTTATCCAATAGACAATTTATTATTGTCCAGTTCTGTGCCTGGGGCTGTCTAAGTCCTGGTTACAAATAAGATACAACAAGTTTGTGTCTTCTGGGGGAACAAACGATTAACCTACTGCCTGTTGTGAGATGCCAGATTAATATTGCTCTGTTCACTGGACAAACCAGAGTTTGAGTCTTAGGACCACATTTCATTACTCATTCTGTTATTTATTCAAGACCTGCTATGTATCAAGCATGGTCCAATGTTGCAGTAATACAAAAATAAATACGGCATGGATGTATCCTGAAAGAATTTACCTTTTGCCAGGCGCGGTGGCTCACGCCTGTAATCCCAGCACTTTGGGAGGCCGAGGCGGGTGGATCACAAGGTCAGCAGATCGAGACCATCCTGGCTAACACGGTGAAACCCCATCTCTACTAAAAATACAAAAAATTAGCTGGGCGTGGTGCGAGCGCCTGTAGTCAGCTACTCGGGAGGCTGAGGCAGGAGAATGGCGTGAACCCGGGAGGCGGAGCTTGCAGTGAGCCGAGAGGCGCCAGTGCACTCCAGCCTGGGGCAACAAGCGAGACTCCATCTCAAAAAAAAAAAAAGATTTTACCTTTTAGGGATTATTGATCTCTGGCATGAAGTCCCTGCTTCTGGAAATTCTCTGATTTCTCCAGCGTTCATGTGCATTAAAAAAAAAAAAACGTCCAGTGCAGTGGCCTCATGCCTGTATCACATGGCCTTTTGGAGTCCAAGGAGGGGGATCACGAGGTCAAGAGATCAAGGACCCCATCCTGGACTCACAGGTGAAACTCAGTCTAATAACACATAAAAATTAGACTGGGTGTGGTGACTGGCGCCTTAATCCCGCTACTCGGAGGCTGAGACAGTGAGAACTTGCTTGAACCCGGAACAGGGTTGCATGTGAGCTGAGATCACGCACACTGCACTCAGCCTGGTGACAGAGCAAGACTCCGTCTAAAATATGAATAATATAAGTAGGATAATGAAGACAGAAGCAAAGAAGACAGAGTGTCTTTTCCATCTCAAGAGGCCTTGAAGGGCAGCTCCCTGGGCGCTTTTAGAGAGGTGTGAAAGAACTGCGTCATGCCAGGAAAAGATGAGAAGACTTCTTTTTGCAATAGTTCAGGACACTTCATTGGTCTCGGTCATTCCACTGTCAGCAGTGAGGCCTTAGAGGAAAATAAACTGGCGGAACGTAGTGGCTCTCAACCTGTAATCCAGCACTTTGGGAGGCTGAAGGCAGGTGGATCACAAGCAGGAGTTCAAGACCAGTCTGCCAATAAGTAACACCCGTCTCACAATACACAAAGATGGGTATGGTGGCCGGGCGCTTCGTTCCCGGCTCCCAAGGAGGCTGAGGCAGGAAAATCCTGCTGGACCGGGAGGCGGAGGTTGCAGTGAGCAGCAGTTCACCCATGGCAACTCGCCAGCCTAGGCGCCACAGCTGCGAGACTCCATCCTCAACAAAAAAGAGAGAGACGAGAGAGCAGAGAGAGATAAAAAAGGGAGGAAAAGAAGAGAACAGAAAGACGAGAGAGAGAGAGAGAAGAGAAAGAAAAAGAGAAACGAAAAGAAAGAAAAAGAAAGAAAGAAAGAAGAGAAAGAAAGAAAAGAAGAAAGAAGAAAGAAAAGAAAGAGAAAACGAAAGAAAGAAAGAAAGAATGCTGTAGAGAACGAAAGAAAGAAAGGAGGAGGAGAAGCAAGAAGAAGAAAGAAAGAAAGAAGGAAGGAAGGAAGGAAGGAAAGAAAGAAAAGAACTACATGCTAGACAGTACACTTTTGGGATTTTGACAGTTTCTTGAATACACAGCATAAGTTGTCCTAAGCTAATAAAATCAATGCTTTCCGCTGCCAAAAACCCTCCCCCAACACAACACACATTCTCTCTCTCTCTCTCTCCCTCTCAAGGTTAACCACTGTAGCCACTAGAGGACAAAAGGTTTCAGATGTGTTCCACAGATGAATGTTTGATATCATGGGACAGGACAGAGCCAGAACAATAGCCTCCTCTTTGGCCAAAACTTTCCCATTAGTGTATCAGAAATGTGCAGGCTCCGATTGCAGAATAAGTAAACAGGATATAATGGGTTTTCAATAAATGCTACGGAGCCAGACTCCAGTTCTATTCGAAGAGGTTTATTTGACATGCAGAGCCTACTGGGGGAATTGAGGACAGAGAGGTAAAGGGAGTTGAAGTTCGCCAATGAAAACTGGCACAAAGGGTGGGTTGAGATCCACCTGCAAACTGCAGAGAGGTGAGACGGTTCTGACTGGAGCAACCCGAGAAGCTGGAACACCTTTGACTGAAATATCCAGGATTGTCGGAATAAAGAACCTTAGAAGAAAATAAGATTTGGAGAGCATTTTGGGATCTTTTTTTTCTCTGTGGTTTTTTGTTTGTTTATTTGTTCGTTTTTGTGTTTTTGTTTTTGTGGGAGAGTTGTTTTAGAAAACCTAAAGCCAAGCCAAGAATAATAGAAGGTCTAAAATCAGACAACCTTCTGGTTGAAGCAGATGATATGGTTGGGCTCAGTGTCCCCACCCAAATCTCATGTTGAACTGTAATCCCCATGTGTCAGGGGAGGGGCCTGGTGGGAGGTGATTGGATCATGGGGGCAGATATCCCCTTTGCGGTTCTCGTGATAGTGAATTCTCATGAGGTCTGATGGTTTAAAAGCGTGGCACTTCCCCCTTCACTCTCTCTCTTTCTCTCCTGCTGCCGTGATAACACATGCCTTGCTTCCCCTTAGCCTTCTGCCATGATTGTAAGTTTCCTGAGGCCTCCCCAGCCATGTGGAACTGTGAGTCAATTAAACCTCTTTTCTTTAAACATTATCCAGTCTCAGGTAGTATCTTTATAGCAGTGTGAAAACAGACTTATACAGCAGAACTTGATCCTGGGCCTCTCAATTCCCAGTCCTGAGTTTTTTCTAATGCACTTTGCCCCTTCATTTATCAGCTACGTATGTAGCCACAAGGTACAAACAAATCAAAAGCATTTGCCATCAGGAAAAAAAAAAAGAAGAAGTTCATGTTCTGATAGATTGAAACTAGTTTTTATCAAGATTGAATGTCTTTCTGATTTTAACCAGAAACAAATTAATTTATGTGTACATTATAACTTATTTTAACATAGACTTCTTTAAGGTGTAGAAGGCCAAATGATTGGGGAAAAGAGGGAGGCTCCATTCCCAGATGAAACTGGGGGACTCCCCCGCTTCTAAAGCCTGGACTGGCCACAGAACACACTGTCCTTGGAAGCCCTTGGGAGCCTGTCTGCTGCCTGGGACTTAACTCTCCACTAACAAGTTAATGAAATAATCAGTAAAGGGCTGGCACACTTGGAATACAATCTGAACATTGTTTCCTTAGTGCCTTTGTGTCTTTGGTCACGTTCCCTAGAAGCAGCATGTGAGACCAGGATCCTGGTGCTTTTGGTTTATTGAGGAAATGCGCTTCAGTAAAAACATGTGAGGGAGTCCACTAATTTGCTAGGGTTGCCACAGACTGGGAGGCTTCAACAGCAGAAGTTAATTTTCTCGGCCGAGCACGGTGGCTCAAGCCTGTAATCCCAGCACTTTGGGAGGCCGAGGTGGGTGGGTCACGAGGTCAGGAGATCGAGACCATCCTGGCTAACACGGTGAAACCCCGTCTCTACTAAAAATACAAAAAAATTAGCCAGGCGTGGTGGTGGGCGCCTGTAGTCCCAGCTACTTGGGAGGCTGAGACTGGCGTGAACCCAGGAGGCGGAGCTTGCAGTGAGCCGAAATCGCACCACTGCACTCCAGCCTGGGCGACAGAGCAAGACTCCATCTCAAGAATAAATAAATAAATAAAATAAAAAAGGAGTTAATTTTCTCACAGTTCTACAGGGTGGATGTTCAAGAACAACCTGTCAGTAGGTTTGGTTTCTCCTGAGGCCTCTCTCCTTGGCTTGCAGACAGCCCCCTTCTCATGGTATCCTCACATGGTCTTTCCTCTGTGCACGAGCGTCTCTGGGAATGTCTGTCCACATTTCCCCTTCTTATAGGGACACCAGTCAGGTTGAGTTATGACTCATCCTAACAGGCTCACTAAATTAAAATTAAAATTAAAAGATGGTGACCTCTTAAAAGGTCCTATCTGCTAATACGGTCACATTTTGAGGTACTGAGGTTAGGCCTTCAGCATATGAATTGGGGTCAGAAGACATAATTCAGCCCCTAAGGGGGAGTGAGAGAAGGGTGACCAGGATGAGGATGCTGGGAAGCAGGATGTGATCTCTGGGAAAGCCCAGTCATAGCCTGGTCCGTGGACAGGGAGGAGGTGACGGTGCAATCAATCAAACCACAGAGCTGCCTGGCCTCGAAGTAAAGGGTCCGGGTCTTTCTGGCTCTGTATCTGCTAGGTGGCTGGCCAGTCCCCAGTGTGTATGTGTTGGGGAAAGTGGGGACATCCTGAGGTACCTACCCAGATGTCTCCGGGCAGGGGGACTCCTGTGAGTCTAGAGCATTTTTCCAGAAAAGGTCTCACAGGTGTACGCCTCTCAAACGACCCAGCAGCTGGGGCAGGGGCCCCCAGCAAAGAGAGTCTGGGTGAGGCACCAGCGGCATCCACGATGCAGCGCTACCTCGGCTCTTCTGTGTTTCACAGACATTTACCAGACTTCTGGCTCCATTGGCTAAAGCCACACTTCCAGGTATAAACACAAGATACAGGAGGGCTGCAGGAAAGGTTGGTGCCATTTGCCAAGACCCCTCTCACTCCCAGCCCAGGAGCCCAGGCCCAAATCCCTGACTTCTGCTCAGTCACTATGTCAATCAGCCAACGCTTCTTTACTCACCTTTTTTTTTTTTTTTTTTTTTTGAGACAGAGTGTTAGTCAGTCGCCCAGGCCTGGAGTGGCAATGGTGTGATCTCAGCTTGCTGGCAACCCTCTGCGCCTCCCGGGTTCAATCAATTCTCCTGCCTCGGCCTCCCAAGTAGCTGGGATTACAGGTACCCACCACCCATGCTCAGCAATTTTTTATGGAGACAAAGTTTCCTCTATCCTATCCCCACGGCTGTGAGTGCGTGGCACGTGTCCCGTGTCTTCGGGTCCACATGCAAGATTCCACCTAGCTGGGGTTCAATGCCCATTCTCAGTCTGCCTAGCCTCCCAAGTTAGGCCG